AGTCTGCACTGATGAACAAAGGGTACGCACGACTCAATTTATTTTGTTTTGAATTAAATTCATTATCTTTCTACATTAGTTACAGGTGATTAGGAGCTATTGCAGTAAAACTAAACTAAAAAGTAAATTGAGTATTGTTTATTTTTCTATTGACTAATCCCAATTGCACAAAACGTAGCATTATGCCATTCCATTCTGCTACGCCTATAGATCACTGCCAGTTAATCTTTTCGTTGATTTCATTTGTTATTATTCTTATTCTTAAACTATTTTCATCGGCTACAGTCAGGCATTTGAGTATGACAGTGGGAGTATTCACGATCTTTGTGTTAACCCTGTTAAGTCTGTTAGGTCCTGTTAGATCGAGAAAAATGATGACTTACTTGTAACATCTAACAGACCAGGTTAAAGTGACCACACGTCCCGATTTTGGCGGGACAGTCCCGCCTTTTGGTGGACTGTCCCGCGTCCCGCCGATTTTTAAAAATGTCCCGCTTTTTAGAAAATATCTGCATTTCTTATTTTAAATGTACTGTAAAAATATATTACCTATTATTTATTAAGTATTATGGTGAATATAAAGAAATAAAATATACATTAAAAAAACACATAAAATGCATGCAGAGTAAGCTAAATTAGGCAATGTACCGAGTTAGATTTACTCGGTGGTGTTCGATCATTGTCGTTACGTCTCGGCTTAATTCAGATAAGTGAGGACGGCCGTTAGACAGTGCTGTGAAAATTATTGAAGGGGACAAAATTTCAATTACGGAAGTGTCAAATGAAATCAATAATTTAAAAACAAAATTACGAGAAAGAATTGATAACGGTTACATTCCTTTAATTATTCGAAAAGACATCACTAGGTTGGAAGAACAAGGTGCCATTAAACGACCTGATTTTCTGAAACATGTCAAAAATTTTTATAATAACTGCTTGGAATATCTTGAAGAATGGACAGTTCAATTCGAAGATATTAAAAATTTTCATTGGATGACATTAAAAAAGGAGATTTTATGGGAATATGTGGAAAAATCTTTTGAATATATTAGTAACCATTTTCCGAAAAATAATATTTGCGAAAATGATATTTTTGATGAGGTGTCATTGGTAAAAAGATATGTTACAGATGAAAACATTAAATGTTGGTTGTCTGCAAATGTGGAAACAGACAAAAAAATGGACGGAGTTATTCCTTCATTTTAAACAGAATAATATTCCTTATCAAAATATTTTGAAATTTGTAGAATTCGCGCTCTCCCTTCCAGGAACAAATGCAGCAACAGAAACGTGTTTTTTCTAGTATCAATAAAATATGGACAACTGAAAAAACGCAGTTGAACATTAAAACTTTAAAATCTATATTAAGTGTAAAATATAATTTGACCAATTCATGTGAAATATTTCATTCAGTTTAATAAATGATCCGAATCTATTACAAAGTATTCACTCGGATCAAAAATATGACCGTGAAAGAAAATCATAATTTTTTTAAATAAAAAATTAAATTTGATTCAAAATCATGATGTTCAAATTATTATTTTTTACAAATATTTTTATAGTTACCAATAATTAACAATAAATACATTTTTGTACAAGTATATGAATGTATACAATAAAATATGTAAAATTAAATTGTAATTCTCATTTTATCCCATTTATCCCGCTTTGTCTCAATGAAAATGTGGTCACTTTATGCTAGGTTGAAAATGTAGTCACATTTAACAGCTGTTTTTTGTTTACATGTGTTTTATTCTTAAATACGCATAATTAAATTACACGAATCCATTTCTTTTGTTAATTTATGACCTGTCCTTATACTCTCATTCATAATATATTCATCGCATATCCTATAAAGTTGTGGGCTGTGGGTATGTCAGCACGAATTCAAGCTCGTCATTCGTTAGTACTTTTTGAATGTATAGATATCATTTTGAATGAAAGAATTGATTAATTATCCTTTTTTATTAATTTCTAACACCTTACAATTTAATACAAAAGAAAACCAAAACAAACAATAGCAAGCCTTCAAGGAGTTTTATAGCTTTATTTTTGGTTCTACAAATCGCCACAAGCAGCATTGCGGAAAAATTAACGTTTAACATTAAAAGAAGGCAGCGTTCACGATCTTACTGGACATTTCTCTATTCGAGTTAACACAAGTTACCATCTTACAAACATCGTTAATACCCCTAGTGTCAGGTTCATAAGGTTATTAGAGGAAGGTAAAAGCCAGGAGACTGAGCAGGAAGGCCGCCTAGAAAGAAAAAAGCTTCACATTAGAAGGCCAGGGTTGACCTAGGTCTACGGACGAGATCGATTATCGATGATCGATTCATACGTCATTAGACTTTAAGAAACTGCAGCATTATGGAAATGAGATAAGAAATCTGATAAGTCCGAATTGTTTCGATTTCCACAGAACTGTAGGAAAAGTTCACATCAACCTTCCTGGTGTCGGTGTTTTTATAAAAAGCTCATTTGTAAGCATGTCGGTTTCGAATCCAGTGCTCTGCACGGAGGCTTTTACCTTACGGTTATGAGCGCCGTGTCAACGCCTAAACCGTTACAGCCACCGACTCTCCACTCGAATATTTGTTATTTATGTTAAAATACAAACTAGAAGATGAAAGTCTAATCCTTTGCTGTGTTTTTGTCAAAGTATTAATTGCGAAAAAACAGCTTAATATATGTTAAAACGTCATATAAAGAACATATTATTCTAAAAACCATTTTGTCTCCTCTATCGGTTATCATATAACCATTTTGTTCTGCAGTAAAGTGGGACAACCCTTTTATAAGGGCCCCGTAAATCATCAAGTATTTATCCAAAAGGACCATATATCTGCTTTTGTAAGATGAGAAATCTTTCTTGACTATATAAAACAGATCATTTTTAAATGTTTCAATAAAAGAAATGCCATGTTTTATGGCCACTCTACACCCAGGACACCTTCCGAGAAGGTCGGAAATATTCGTTATATTTTTCGTATCTATTTTCCTTTTTCCCAATAAATCTGGCTTTATGAACTAAGGCTTAATTGTCCTCCCAATCACAAATCACTGGAAAATTATAGTTTTATTAAACTTTTTTTCAATTAATTATTCTTTATGTAAGGTATTGGGTGTGATAAAAAAAGTCAGCGTTATGAGCGGGATTCGAACCCACGACGCTGCTCTACTAGTATAACCACCTCTCTAGTAGGTTGAGATGGGAAATTGGTGTCCAAGTGGATCGAAGTCACGATATATCAAGCGGTAGAGCAGTGGTGTATTTAGACAAAGGTCGTGAGTTCGAATCCCGCTCGTGACGTTGACTTTTTTATCTCAACCAATACCTTGTATAAAGATTAATTGATTAAAAAAAGTTAATTGGTTAATCGGACCACGAACTCTAATGGTTTTAATAAGCGTTTAAATTATTGTTAAAAACTGAATCAACACAGGTATACCTGAATCCATACGACACATATGTGAAGGCTGATGTGCTCGGTGAGAATTTTATAGTCCATTCCATGAATAAAAGCTGGAGCTGCTATCATTTACACAAAAAGTCAATAAAGATAAAAAAAAAGATTTCTTCCCAGCCAACATACCTACACTGTCTGTGGGCCAGCTTCCCTTTGAGAGATAAAGCTTATCGTTAAAAAATATAAAAAATAACAAAGCTCCTGGGGATGATAACATGACACCCATCCTTGTGAAAAACCTCTCAAAGCAAACAACAATTACTTAGCTAACCTCACTATTCTAATATAACACATTCTATTACTTACGCATTTTCCCTCTTTCTGTTTTGAATTCTCTAATTTAACGAACAACAATTAGTGATTATTAATCTCGCTTCTTAGTACACTATCAAAATTGTAGAAAACATGGTAATCCAAAGAAATAGAAATTTGTCAAATGTAACAGAGTTTATTACGCTTTGTGCCCTTGTATTCTAATATTATACAATTGTGCAGATTGTGGATCAAATTCGCAACGAATTTATTGTAAATTAACATGGAAGATACTTAGCAACTTTTCACTTTATTCACTATTTTTCGTGATCCGCTTGACCAATTAATACCATTCAATTAATTAAGGTTTTAAGTCGAGATAAAAAGTCAGTGTCACGAGCGAGATTCGAACCCACGACCTTCGGCTTGATACGCCGCTACTCTACCATTCGATCTATCGTGACTTCGATCCCCTCGGACATTAACTTCCCATCTCAACCGCACCTTTTGAATTTTTCCCTCCTTTTTGCCATTTTTCAACTTTTCACTTTATTTAACATGAAAAGTTTCTTTTAAGCTGTACTGAAATGTTCTTGGTGCAACCTACATTTTTTCTTTAAAATTTTTGACATTTTTATTTATTTATGTAATGGCGATGGTGTGGGGTGGGACTAGATGTTTTGTCATCATTTTATTCTTTGCATACACGCGTTTCGGAACGTTTTCTCAAAGTGTCTGAAATAACACGTAGACATCATTTGTCTGCCAACGTTTCGATCTTTATTGAGATCATCTTCAGTGCTCAAAGTGTTTGTTTTCTGTGTAGATGTGTCATTCTTGTCTGTCGTGTTGGAAGTGCCTTAATTAATTAAATTAGTAATCTCAGTTGCTGTAATTAATGACTTAATACATTGTTCGTATAGCAAAAATATGTGAATTATTACTTTAAAACGGAAATATTTATTAAAATATACCAGACAAAATATTTATCTCTGGTCATAGCCCGCATTATTGGCGTTGTTTGTTTCCTACATACCAGGCGAATTGCCAAAAGGGGATTGACAAAAAAAAGCGAGAGTAATGTAATCAGAATGATAACGAACATAAAAAATATAATTTTGAACAAATATATTCCAAAGAACAAAGATTTCCAGAGATGGATGATATGTTACATTGTTGTTTATGTTGAACAATTATTTATCACTTTTAACGTATATTTCATAACTTCTGATGGTTCTTGTATGGAAATTGTATTTATATGTACATATTTAATTGCAGGTGGGGAAGAAGAGGAAGTAGTAGATGATGAAAATTACGGACTAGTCGAGGACGGGATGCAGGAACCGACGATCCCGTCATCCGAGGCGCACGACAGTTCCCAGTCGGTCCCTCTTCCCGTGTTTCTCGAGGAGCCGACCGACATGTACATAATCAAAAATAAGCCGGCAACGTTGCAGTGCCGCGCTGCGCACGCTTTGCAGATCTTCTTCAAGTGCAACGGCGGGAAGTTGCACACAAATCCTACACACATGCTCGACTTCGTCGACCCGCAAACTGGTGTCCGCAACCTCGAAGCTGCCATCAACATCACCCGCGACAACGTCGAGGAGTACTTCGCCAAAGATAAGTTCAAATGCGAATGCATTGCCTGGTCTTCGAGAGGTCACATTAAAAGTCAACCAGCTTCGATCGACGTTGCATGTGAGTTTTTCTTTATTTTTTCTTAAGATAATGGTGCGTAATTGCCAATTTTTGATATATGTAATACATATGTATAACTTGTAATTTTTATTTTTTTATTTTTTATTTTTTTACTGTTGATTGATTTGCCAACTGTCTTGGGAAATCCAAAATTTATAAGGAAACAACCTTTATTTAGCTAAGATCCAGGATGATTATTTTAGCTGTTTAATCGGATAAAGAATCAGGGCTGCTGGCTAGTCATCCTAAAAAGTGAATAAACTACTGCACCCCCTGAAGGTTTCTGTTGCTCACTAATAACAGAAATATAAGGCACTATATATTATGAGAATATGACGTGACGGACGGAGAATACTTTCCTCCTTCCGGATGTTCTGCTGATGTTAGCGGTTTCTGTGATGATCATGAAATCATGTGCTTCCTTTCAGCCAGCTCGGAACGAACCATGTGTCGGCAATTAATCCTTTTCAGGATTCGATTTTTTTATGTTTGTTTTCTTGTAGCATGACTTTTGACTACGTCAGATCACATATTGGCAGATCGATTGTATCATAATTAAGCTAAGCTTTCTTGGATTTGGTATGGATTACCAATGGTCATGAAGGTCAAGAAGAAATTATACTTATTTAATAAGTCTCAAGAAAATACTGTACAATTTATTCAATCTTGTCAGATTTCAGGTCATGCTCGATCAACCAGGAATAGTGGCTTCTGATGTGTTTTTCTCTGTATACAGTTATTACGGCAGATTTGTTGGAATTCATTGTTATTCTCCTTGGTTGACTTATACATACCTGAAGAGCACTAACTCATAAAAGTCAGAAACATCACTTGCGAATTGCGCCACCATTATATTAATAAGTGTTAGGCAATCCCTTGCGTACACCAAATACACTACACTGAGAACATCAAGGGTGTTGATTATACTAAAGGACATCTCACTGTAAACGTGCATGTTGCAAAATGCTTTTATGTTAGTTTGTAGCATGTATCTGTTGCATAAAACTTAACATTGTAAGTCGGCCAATATTCTGCAATGTTTAAGCCTTCTCAAGAAATTCAGGACAAGTGCATTAATGTCTTACGTAGCAAAGTTACGTATCGAGAAGCAGCGATGACTTATGAATGGTCTGTAGCTAGCTGGGTCCGAAGTTTACTTTTTATGGTTGTTTTTTTCAGTGTTGACTTTTGGATGTTCCTATTGATTTGGTGCATCTGTCTTGAAGGATATCATTATACACAGTGTAAAATAGAAGAAGTTGGACAATATGGTCATGACCAGGTTTGTTGGATAGCGATCATAGTTGCTTGTCCAGGAGGTGATAATTATTAGATTAAGTTGTTCCGTAAACAGCTCATAAAAGTTTTGTGAGAAATCACGAGAAGAAAATAGCTGCTGAAAATGAAAACAACTCTATCATATTTTTGGGGGAAGACTACAATAGTCAGTGTCAACAATCATTTACGGTTAGTGCAGTGATGTTGTTAGAAGTAGCGTTGTTTTTCTGCAGTTTCCCAAAATGCAGTTTTAGTTGGGTACGAAGTTTACTTGTTATGGTGGGTTTTTTTTCGATGTTGACTTTTAGGTGTTCCTATTGATTTGGTGCATCTGTCTTGCGAAGGATATCATTATACACAGTGTAAAATAGAAGAAGTTGGACAATATAGTCATGACCAGGTTTGTTGGAGAGCGATCATAGTTGCTTGTCCAGGAGGTGATAATTATTAGATTAAGTTGTTCCCGTAAACAGCTCATAACGTTTTGTGAGAAATCACGAGAAAAAATAGCTGCTGAAGAATGGAAACAAATCTATCATATTTTTGGGGGAAGAGTACAATAATCAGTGCCAACAGTCTTTTACGGTTAGTGCAGTGATGTTAAAAGTAGCGTTGTTTTTCTGCACTTTCCCAAAAGGCAGTTTTAGTTGGGTCCGAAGTTTACTTGTTATGCTGTTTTTTTTCGATGTTGACTTTTGGGTGTTCCTATTAATTTGTACATCTGTCTTGCGAAGGATATCGTTATACATCAGTGTAAAATCGAAGAAGTTGGACAATATGGTCATGATTAGGTTTGTTGGAGAGCGATTTTTGTTGGTTGTGTATGGTGTTCTGTTTGTTGGCTTTTCTTCTTGTGGTCTTGCCCCTATGATCGCTCTCTAACAATCCTAATCATGACCATATTGTCCAACTTCTTCGATTTTACACTGATGTATAACGATATCCTTCGCAAGACAGATGTACAAATTAATAGGAACACCCAAAAGTCACTTTTACGGTCAATGCAGTGATGTTGTTAGAAGTACCGTTTGTTTTTCTGCACTTTCCCAAAAGGCAGTTTTAGTTGGGTCCGAAGTTTACTTGTTATGGTGTTTTTTTTCGAAGTTGACTTTTGGGTGTTCCTATTGATTTGGTATATCTGTCTTGAAAAGGATATCGTTATACATCAGTGTAAAATAGAAGAAGTTGGACAATATGGTCATGATTAGGTTTGTTGGAGAGCGATCATAGTTGCTTGTCCAGGAGGTGATAATTATTAGATTAAGTTGTTCCGTAAACAGCTCATAAAAGTTTTGTGAGAAATCACGAGATGAAAATAGCTGCTGAAGAATGAAAACAACTCTATCATATTTTTGGGGGAAGACTACAATAGTCAGTGTCAACTATCATTTACGGTTAGTGCAGTGATGTTAGAAGTAGCGTTGTTTTTCTGAACTTTCCCAAAAGGCAGTTTTAATTGGATGTTAATTTCTGTAGGAGGATGCTATCAGCGATGATATTCACCGCTACCAGAAGAGCATAACCTGTACCATTGTTTCCAACCAAATCCCAGGAAAATATTTTTTATTTTTCATATAAAGTGATGATATATCAAGTGGAATTAAAATTTACAAACCTTCGTACACTCAGTGACATGATTTTAGGTTAAGCCCGTCTGTAATGAATGAAGAGGGGAGTCGAGGATGACGGCAACGTATGAAAAAGCGTTTGTAAACGATGACACCTTTGTCTCAGCGGATAATAAGATCTGGAAGGGGGCAAGCTGACAGCTTGGAATAATGTCAAGAACAGTGACACTGACAAAGGTCCCGCCATAGTTTTTACCAGCTGATATAGATTACCGTCCCATCCCTCATGCGGTTGGGAAGGAACGCGGGGAGAAACGCACAAATTCGATTAGGCACAGATTGAATCTCGCCCACCTCGCACACGCTCATATACACTCGCCCTTCCGACAAATAGGAAAAGTTATCTTTTATCCCACAAACAGACAATGTTTAATTCCCTCCAACTGTATCTAATTATGGCCTGGTTCAGCAGCATATTTGACATATACATTTAGTTTGGTGTCAAAATGTGTACATATTGTTTCACTCTGACGCTGATTTTTCACTGGTCCGCGTAATTTTGCTGTATTTTTTTGTTCTCGAGTTTAATAACATTTCATTATGTTGTTTTAATTAATTATGGAATGTTTTACACCTACTTTTAATTGTATTATCATTTATGAACGGACGGTCTCTTTCTGCAGATGGATCGTTACATTTGCATGCCGGCGAAGGAAGTTGTGTCGTAAAATAATAAGAAGCTCTGAAGGCGGCTGTTAAGGGCTTCGTCTGTGAATTTGATTCGTGATGCCTTTTCAGGAGGGAAGGCTTACTTAGGGAATTGATGGACCGCTCAGTCAAGCCACCTGCACAGCTTTTCTGTGGGGGATGGGTTCTTCTGGAACCCCTCGAATCGATACGGATCCTTTTATAAAAAAACCGTTTCAATAGGACTGTATCAGTGTATTAGAGAGGGCATCCGTATCCAGGAATGTCGGAAACCCTATCAGAAAAGAATAATTAATTCAGTACATTTTCATTATATATGAAGGGGCGACGTAGCGGTTCGTCGGTTATTGAATATTTCAAGATAATCGAGTCCATCGACCACCTATGGCACATAAGATATTCAGACGGTTTCCAACTTGATTTGACTCACACGATAAGGACAACTAGTATGCGGAACAGTCTGGGCATGATAAATTAAACATCTATAGTTTAAATAATTACGAATTTCCCCAGGGTGACGGGAATAATGCGCGTTCTAACTTAGTTATAACGATCGCGTGATAAGTTTGTTCGCCTCCGTAATTGTTCCGCTCTTCCAATTTCTAGGTTGGAAAGCTAACAGGAAAAACAAACAAAATGTGCGTGCAGGGTTTGGCGTCTTTAGGCGTGTTTCTTTTCTTCTTTAACCTGACCTAATAGAACGCTGACTTGCTGAACATTTATCACATTAAAGTGTAGGTATTACAGACGCTACATTACGCTTTCCACATTAATATTGAGAAGCTTTTAATAGCCTTCCTGTTTGTTCGTAAAATGTATAGAAGTAAGACGATATTACCCGTGAATACATTTGATTCCAAGGAGACATTCGCCAACTTACTTACACAACATTGCGACTATTTTGCTTGCTGCTTTCATCCGTAGAAGATTCAAGAAAAATATTTGTATGCTTACTGGCTGCCTTGTCGTAAATAGAAAAAAAAAACGTTAATACCGATCATATTAGTCGGTCTATTCTCGCAAGGTTGTCAATCTTATCGACATTTCTCCGGATCTGTCTGTACACATTAGAAATTCTGGGTCCAGATGTTACTTATTCAACGGAGATAGACCGGTTATCACGTTGACCTTTTGATCACTACCCCAAATCATTATGTTCGACGTGATTATTACTTTCGCCGGATATCAATTGATAAGGCAAAAAAAAACACGATTAACCGGTGGCATGTCTTCGATATGCCCGATGACAAACAACCTAAAATATGTTACCTACTGATAGAATTACGAGAAAACGATTTATTGGGCTATTTAACTACTAGATTAGATCGAATATCTCCGTAAATGTATGAAAATTATTGGATCAGAGTACATGTATTTTTGGCAAAATCTGCAAATGATCGGTGAAGAAGATAGACAATAATTTGTTGCAGTGGTGAGGTACGGCCAAGAATGAGGTAATTTATATAAACATCTTGTTTCGACCTTTATTCGGGTC